CGGGTCAAACCATGAACCGACGTAACACAACCCGCCTTCTTAGGCCAAAACCGGAACCCAACTAGAAGTTTAACTTTTCGCAACGTTTAAAGGGACTTTGGTAACGTTTGGTAAACGTTGCAAAAAGGCCTTTTGGCAACTTTTAGTAAACGCTGCAAAAATAAAAATTTTGGCAACACCAAATAAATGCTGCAAAAGGCGACATTAGCAACATTCACTTAAAAAATGTTGTCAAATCTCAATTATTAACACCAATGACAACATTCACATATTAGAATATTGTAATAGACCCTTTTAGAAACATTTAATTTATCGATGTTGCAATTTACATGTTGCAAAAACACTTTTTTGTTGTAGTGATTTAATGAAGCTACATTTTCAAATAAATGTGAACCATACTAACAACTCTATTGTGATGCAAGAATTTGAAAATTATAATGTTTGAAAGTATTTGCAACGAATATCTATTGTTGCAAAATAAATTAAGCTTCAAGCACATGTTACATAAACTAATATCTATTGTTACAAAATCATTTGTATAATAATTTTATATATTATAAAGTAAAATACTTGATATTTAAATAATAACAACATTTATCATTGCACAAATGATGACTTGACAAACTTTTCTGTGTTGTGAAATAAATTTAACTACAAACATCATTTGTTTCATAATAAATTGTACTACAAATATTGAATATCTTAAAATATATTGTGCAACACGTCAAATGTATTGTAAAATAAATTATGCAAAAAATATGATATGTTATTAAAAATATATTACTATAAGCATGTGTTATAAAATATAATAGATAACACAAGTTATACTTTTAAAACAATATTCGCATCAAACATTTTTTCTCACTAAAACTTTTTTGGGTTTATTGTAGCGACAGATTGACTTGTCGCTTTTTTAACTTTTCCAACATATATGTGATGCGACGACATTGTGGCAACAAATATCTTGTTGCTATTTTGTATTTTTTGTGTAAAATAAATAATGTTCTGAGTTTGTTAATGCAATGAATTATTGAACGTTGTAGCAAAATACATTCTGTGACTTATATAGCATGACAATAACTGCAACCAGCATATTATTGCCGTGAAATGATTTTTACAGCAAAATCTCTTTTTATGTGACAATATTTTTTTTTCGCGATTTCAATATTTTTTTGTAGTTAAATCTCCACATTGAACCAAATTTCTATAAGGGAATTTCAAAATACATCTTCAAAGTAAACATCACTACTCTTCCAAACAAAACCAAATGGGCTAAATCAATTATATTTGCTAACTAAGTTCAAGCAATGCTCAAACTTAACAATGAGAAGTGGTTTTGTCAACAAATCAGTAGGATTATCTTTGGTATAAATCTTGCTCACTACAATATCACCAAGAGAAATCACTTCACATCAATGTACTTAATCCTCTCGTGAAATATCCTTAATAAAATATATAACACTCTAAATATCATAATATACTATAGAAATTTGTAAGTATTCACTGATTTCACCAATCAATCCGCTTAATTGCATAGCCTCTTTACATGCCTCCGGAATATATATATACTTTGCCTCTGTTGTAGACAATGTTACTGTATTTAGCAAAGTAGCTTTCTAAGCTGATAGCACAGCCTCCAAGGGTAAACAGATACTATGTTAGTGATCTCCTACGTAATATGAGTCTACATACTCAATGATTCCATCTATATTTTTACCAAAATGCAGGCAAGCATTACTGGAGCCGCTCAAGTATCTAAAATCTACTGAATTGCTTTCCAATGTTCTTTGATAGGATTTGTCATGTACTTACTAACTGCACTGACTAGATGTGCTGAATCTGGTCTTGTAC